TGTTGGTAGTACCAGCGGAGTTGGTCCCAACAAACACGAGTTAAAACCCTAGTTTTGCTTTCTTAGTAACCCTGCATTGACGACAGTGAAGCGTTCAGGTCTATTCCCAGCCGAGTTTCTGTTAGTGGCGGTATTGGCCTTCCCAGCGATGCGCTCTTTGTTCTTGAACTGGGCCCAAGTTTCTAACCCAGTCAATCGATGGGTCAGAGAGTCTCGCGAAAGGTCCTCACAGCCCTGTAATCCCTTCAGGGCAACCTAAAACTCTGGGCAAAATTGAGGATAACCGTCAGCAGGGTTCAGCAGGACCAGCCTTCCCCGCTATCCTTTTCTCATCCCTCTTTCTCAGAACCACAGGAGCCAAATCCGTCAGTGGACGTTTGGCGCAATTTCGTATCTTTGCAAATTCCATCTATTCCATGCTTCATTCAGGTGCCCAAGTCCAAGTGTCTTTAAGAAAGCTGCACAACAGTGGATGTCTGATACATGTATCAACTTCAATCGAGCAAATTTGGAAAAGCCTCGAATTTTACCGATTGGAAGCTATAGCAGGATTTGCTGTACGTGCGTTTCAGTAGTATACGTCCACCCATCATTTCAATAAAAACGTTCCTCAAATAACTGGTCCAATTATGCAGCACACATTGCCAGATTCGTAATATAAGAAAACGGTTAACAACATTTTTTCGGACAGGAAAGTCAACAAGAAAATTTTTTAGAATTATTTTTCCAAATTTTGGCCGTTTCATAATATACGTCCACCCTTCATAGATGACTCGGGAAAATTTTTCCTGTTTCAACCGGGGTACATATCCGTACCAAAATCCAAGACGACATGTCTCCTTGCGATGCCGCGTGGTCTCCGTCTCTCTGTAGAAGAAAAGGCCCAGATTCGGGCTCTCCACGATGCCGGACTCAGCCGTCGACAGATTGCCCGGCAAATCGGCAGGACTCACTGCGTGGTTTGCTCTTATCTAAGAGATCCTGAAGCCTACGACAACGGAGGTGCCCGAGGACGTCAGCGCAAGTTGTCCAACAGAGATGAACGAGAAATTTGGAGGAAAGCCTCGAACAGCACCAGCAGCGTCAACCAGATCCGTGCAGACTTGCAGCTGTCTGTCTCGAAAACGACCGTATGGAGGGCAATCAAACGCAAAAGCAGTGGCAACATCGTGAGAGAGGTTATGAGAAAGGCGCCACGCCTTACCAACGCGCACAAGATGGCTCGCCTCGAGTTTGCCCGGAAGAACGCGACCACGGATTGGAGACAGGTGCAGCTGTAGAACTAGGCGAAGCTTATGCACTGTAGAGTAATTTAAAGTCTTTAGGTGATCTTTTCCGACGAGAAGAAGTTCAACCTGGATGGACCCGATGGAGCCAGATGTTACTGGCGTGACCTGAGGAAGGACCCAGTGCAGTTCAGCAGACGCAACTTCGGTGGCGGTTCGCTGATGGTGTGGGGAGCCTACTGCTGGGACAGCAAGCTGGAGCTCGCATTTGTTTCCTGCCGAATGGACTCAGAAGAGTACCAGCAAGTTCTGGAATCCAACTTATTGCCGTTCCTGAGTCGCAGGCGACGACAAAGGTTGGTCTTCCAGCAGGACAATGCAAGTGTTCATGCTAGCAGGTCAACTTCCGCATGGTTGCAGCGACAGAAAGTTGAGGTTATGGCGTGGCCTGCGTGGCAGTCTGATCTGAACCCAATGGAGAACCTTTGGGGAATAATTGTGCGACGAGTCTACGCCAACAGCAAACAGTTTTCCACCATCGACGAGCTGCGAACTGCGGTCATGGATGCGTGGAGAAGCATCGACCCTTCAGTCCTCAAGAACCTAACAATGAGTATGCCGAATCGACTCATGGAGCTCTCATTCAAACAGGGTGCATCAGTTGATTATTGATTTCCATGAAGTGTACTGTTGAGTTTGTATAAATAAACTGTTATATGAAGTGGACGTATACTATGAAACGGTCGAAATTCGAAAAAATACTTCTAAATTATTTCTTTATAAACTTAAAATTTTGAAAACACGTTTTCCATAGTTTTTCAATGCAGCGAATCCGCTAATACATACTGCTAAATTAGATCACCCCATTAAGGAAAGTTTTCTGTGAAATAAGGGGTGGACGTATACTACTGAAACGCACTTATGTAGGAATTTTAGCGCGAACATGACCGTGACAAACTTATTACTGTTGACTAACAAAATATCAAGGTAATGCGCAAGCGCTACAATTCTACTCACTAATTAAGCTCAAGCCGCTACAATTTACTCATATATGCCTGATAACTTTAGCCAGGTCGTCAACAATTTACGAGAGGACAACAATCACAACAATAACAATTAGGGCTTAGACATGGGACACGGATAATCCTTGACTGCAAGTACTGAGCCACAAGGCGGGTAGTTATAAAGAGATCACTGTGAAGTGAAGGCGAGAAATTTAGAGTTTCAGTGCCACTGGAAATAAAAACCTACCGTGGAGCCAAAGGATGTGCTGTACACGGAGACTCCAGGATCACCATTCATTTCCTGCTACGGCCTGCTTGTGATCAACACACCTTATAATTGCAAAGGTGAGCAGCATTGTAAAAACCCGCGTGGGCGTGCTTCCAGTCTACCTGCCATGCGGAATATAGCTGTCTTAGTTGGCCTAAGCTAACTCCCTAATTTCTTTGACCTCTAGACCGTAGCTAACCTCCTACTTGTGGTTTAGAGTCACGATTCTGCGAGTAGTTACGTACAAAAGCAAAACAATTATTGTTTTAAATCTCTTATTACCAGTTTTGCTCCGCCCGCTATCGCGCGCATCACACGGCAGGCTTTAGCGAAACTGGAGGACCCATGGAATATCAGCATGAGGTACTCCATTAACCACCTCACTATTGAATGTGTTAGACCTTTCCCAGTTTCGCTGAAGTCCATCGAGAATACGCGTGATAACGTCTGGAGCTGAACTGGCATATTTATCTCACAACTGTAAACATCCAGCATTCTTCTTGAATTCAGATAATTTAGCGGTGAATAGGATTGCTGTCAGTCTCAAAATGAAAATGAAATATGCCTATTTACATAAGTGAGGAGCTAAGGCTTATCATTTATTTACATTCACCATTATTTAGAACCCCGAAAGGATTAGCGGTTTAATGAGTTTGGGCTTTCTTGATAGAAATGAAACTTATCATTTGCTGAAGACTTGATTGAGTTTATGCAATCGACTGCTATTAAGTAAGCTGGTCATACAATGATACAATGTGCACGTACCACTACAAATAGTTTTGTAAGTAGGGACGCTCTAGTGTCAAAGCGAGCTGCGTAACTTTAAGCAATCTTCCACGGAAAAAGCTCCGCCCTCATTACCACAGAAAACGATACCTTAAAGGAATCTTCCACGGAAAGAGTGATCATTTTGTCTTGTGTGTAGGATTAGTATTATCGAAACTAACGCTTATGTTCCGTTCTTTTTGCTATGCTCATGAGGCTAGGGGCCTAAGGGTATCGTTTTTCTGTGGTAATGGAGGCGGAGCTTTTTCCGCGGAAGATTCCTTTAATTGACGACTTTTGCGTTCTGACGCGCCTTATCAGCCTTTATCAGTTGTAACCACTTTCCATCACCTACCAACAATGTCCCCGTCCCACCCCACATAACACTTGTAAGTATGGACGCTCTAGTGTCAACGCGAGCTGCGTAACGGAATCGACGACTTTTGCGTTCTGACGCGCCTTATCAGCCCTTATCAGTTGTTATCACTTTCAATCACCCAAACAATGTCCCCGTCCCACCCCACATAACACTTGTAAGTATGGTTGCTCTGGTGTCAACGCGAGCCAGGTAACGGAATCGACGACTTTTGCGTTCTGACGCATCTTATCAGCCCTTATCAGTTGCTATCGCTTTCATTCATGTACCACCAATGTCCCGGGACCACCCCACATAACACTTGTAAGTATAGACGCTCTAGTACCAATATGAACGACAAAACGAAATTGGCGATGCTCGCTTTCTAGCCCCTCTTATCAGCTATTATCAGTCGTTATCAGTTCCTATCACATACCACTTGTGTCCCCATCCCACCCCCTATAACATATGTAAGAACCATGGCGCTATCATTACTGTGACCCGAGCTATGAATTTCCGGTCAGACAACAAACACACACACACACACACACGCACAACCGCTTAGCGGATTATACAGGGGTGGCCAAAAAAAAGAGACACTTGACTCCACATTTCAGACAGCATTAATCACACTTTGCTAGAATCAAATCGACTGCCCCAACTCAGTATTGAAGAGCACATTCTAATCTATCTAAATTACATGACAGCCTTCTACACCGACGACATCAGAAGATTTTCCCACGGAAACATGGTTCACGGTACGAGCTCAACGAGGTCGTCGAGACCATTACGACGTCCCTGAAACGCTGGTCAAAAGCGGTTTTGCATAGTCACAGCTAATGTCTCTGGGAAGCTATTCAACAGTTAATCCATTGAAGAAATTATGTAGCAGCTTCAGGCCGGAGCGATTACGGTAAGCCTCGTTGAGCTCGACGGTGGCGGCAGATGACGTCATATTCTGAAGACGGCGGGGGCAGTGAAGGAGGGCCTGCTTCTGCTTACGGGGGAACACCTAAGGAATATTCGCCGTAAAACTTTCATTAACATCGGCACCCTGTGCGACGAAAAGTTCGATGATGTGCGCCATGGGCAAAGTGTCTCTTTTTTTTGGCCACCCCTATAGTAGGATTTCATTGAACGTTCCAATGGCAGTAAAATACACGGAAGGAGACGTGTAATTCTTGCTACACAACAGAACCACTGATCAAACAAGAGTATTTATGCTCAACAACAATCCTTAGGTTAGAAACCAAATCTAGCTTAACCTAAGTGACAGACCCTCGCTTTACCAGAGGACTGCAGACATAGCATCCCCAGACCGTACCTCAGTCCGGTGGGTCTGCGCCATAACGGGCGGAATTGGGCCGCTATCGCGGGGTTACCTGCGAATCCCGGTGGTCGAAACTCCCATGACATTGTAAATGATAAAGTCGGCTCCTGCGAGTATACCATCCGAGATATATGGGGAGGTTCTATAATCATATCATATATCATATGCAACCACAATACATAGCGCGATAACGGGGTCGACGATCGTGTACGTGCGAGAAAGTGGAGTCGGAAAAAACTCCCCGTTTTGGGCTTACGGGGTCCCTGTCGTGAGTCGAATAGTCACCAGGTGGCAGTGCGTGTCGAGACCCAGTTTTTGCGATCTACTGGCTATTCCATATTTCGATTCCCATATTTCGATCGACGGCCACCGTGCTTTGACAAAAAGGTCATGCGATCACAGATTCGCTCATCCTCGTGATTGCTCCAAATGCATCTGCCCCAGTGGCTACAGTGCCTAATATTGTGAAAAAAGGGTATCATCTAATTTTGGTGGTTGAACTAACTGAATCCTTGAATGGTATTTTTAGCCAAGAGGTTGCAGTGCAGAGCTCAAGGCTTCCAAAGAGTGGAAACCGCCTGTGGACGGTCTGGGAGGCCGAAATGGTGGCAGACCGTGCGAGAAGACTTCAAAGATTCCACGAAATGCAGCTTCTGGATCAAAGTTCGATGTTTTCAGGAAGAAACTTGTTCGATTAAAGGTATGAAAATAATTTAAGGCACCGGCTGGTAAAAAGATTGAAGTGAAATTTGTTTTCCCTGATGGAATTGCCGTATATGGATGTATATATGCAGGAGTTGAAATCAAAACACATCCCCGACCAACGCCGCACTGGTTACAGGTATAAAGTCACAACTATGTGTAGTTAGAAATGTTTGCAGTGCGCAATAACTACTGTAGATTTTGTTTAGATTCGAAAGACGACATCAACAATTTTGTTTAGATTCGACAGACGACATCAACAACATCGTACTCAAATCTCATTCGAACCTTGTACATGTTATAACCTACAATCGAATCTACGCTACGGTCACCGAGCTGGAGCATCGTCATGTCTAGAAGAGATCTTATGTATTCAAGACTTGTGATTTCTTCAAATAAAGGACTTGAATCCAAAAATATTATGCATGCAAAGTCGAAATTTCTTTGAAGAAACATTTCATCAATCATTTACAAGCTGCGATCCAACGACGGCAAAATGTATTACACCAACAGAAATATTCAATGTGTTAATTATCCCTCAAAGTTCAAGCCTAGTTTTCCGATCCACGCACATCCAATTTAAAGCATCTCCCACCACACGCGTTCCAATTGTACAGCATTGGTAGTCGGCATATGCCAAGGGCCGCACCAACAGTCGTGACGTCGCGTTTGCCAGCAATTCCTTCAGAGGTGCACCATGTCGGTGAGAAAAATGGTTGCGATAAATAAATAAATCAATGCAACTTCTACTTTGAAGAAACTTCGTCTGAGGCTACCATTTACACCACAACCCCAGAAATGTAAAGAATGGCAGGTGAGCAAGCGCGAGAGTGATGCGCACACCCAAGGACCGATCAATATATGAGAGATATTCGAAGGCGGTGGATTTCTCAAAAGGTATGCACAACCTGCACAAATTCCTTGTCATGAACGGTTCCACCCAATTTGGCCGAACGAAAAGGCCAGAGGTGGACAAGAAGAGGCGCTTTCTCACTTTTAATAGCGAAACGACGGCATTCGACAAAACCTGACTGGATGTTTTCACGAGAGAATTCGACTGTACACTCTCATCCTTTGAAAAGCTCCGTGACATTCTTCGCCATAAACGACACCAGAAATTTCTTCTTGGTGACATGACGCGATCCCCGATTTCACCATGATCCTCTATTTCTTCATTTCATTCATACATTCGTACACAGTCCATCTGAATTCAGCCGAACTCTGTATTGAATTAAAGATCGTCAATGGGACTGATTCGCGTAACTATTTTTGCGCTTTCATTTATGGTTAGTAGTGACTTTTGCTCATATGCGGTTGACATTCCAGGCCATCTGAGCTAAACTACGTTCATGCCATTCGAACGCGACGTAAGGAGGGATGTTTGCTTTTGCAATTTGTTCCACACTTTAACACATTCACGCCGATGGACGCCCATATAGGCTGCCAACAACATGCGCTCCTGGGACCAGGGTCAACCCTGCGTTGCGCAAAGAACAACGAGGGGGTCGTATTCAGCCGACCGAAAAGGGAGGGGGTCGTATCCACAGACGGGCTGCAAGACGGCTTGAAAAGTGCAGTGTCCGGGAGTGCACTTTCAGCCTCTAATGTTCTCCAGGAGCTCTGCACGCTGTCGGAGAGTCACACAGACATGAGCTCCATGGGAGCATTAAAGCATGCAGAGCACTATAAGTCTCACCATCAGCTTATTATCCTTAATCGACGCTATCCGGACGGCGCTTTTGCTCCGCGGCATAGATCAAGAGTACAATAGACAATAGCCAAAAACTTTGTTACAGTGTAGTGCAAAAACATGGTCTGTCTTCGATGATGAAACATTCCTGAAATCCCGAGGAGAACAAAGATTCAGAGCAGTCTTCATGGGAAAGTGAAAGGTTGAATTAACCGTAAATACAATCATCAGGTACGACACACACCTTCTTCAGGAAACGAACGGCTTAAAATAGCAGAGTGCGACTTGCCCACAGTAGGTGACGGGCGAATCCGAAGCGTTTTGTCATGAAACGCTCCTTGTGCGGCGGGCCGTAGCAGAAACCTTTACGAGAGATTTCGATGCTGTGCTCAAATAAAATCTAAGCGAAAAAAGTGTAGCGAATTTGCTGAATTGAGTTCTAGAGACGCCGTAGGAAAATTGAGGCAGAAGAAGGAATTTCAGGGAAATTTCACAGTTGTTATGAAGTACTCTTCGAGTGGATTCCAACAATCTTTACCGCTTCTCATCACATTAATTTCAAAGGAAGTTATGGGCCTTTCAAGACTGAGTGGTCCCCAGGAAATGGCTTTGAAAAAAATCAAGGTGGAGTAAACGGAACAACGGGACTATTTTTTGAGCGAGTGATTACCCAAGGATCAGTGATTATTCTCAAGAAGTTTCAGCACCCTGATCCGCGAATCTATCCTTTAGTTTAATTAGCCTTTAGACATCTGCAAAATGTTGAGTATGAAGAAAGTTATTAACGTTTGAATGTCGAAAACTCGCGCCTTCTCAAAAATCGGACCTCAAACCACCCAAAAACGGAACAACGGGACTATTTTTTGAAAAAATGATCGCTGGAAAACTTTCAGGTGCGCATTGTGTTCAGAATCTATTTCTAGTTCTATCTAGGCCTTAGGAATGTGCAAAAGTTGATATGAGAAGTCAGAATGTCTTGGATGTAAAAACTCAAAAACTGCACAGAAAAAGCCGGAACAACGGGACGATTCTGAAATATTGAATATCCACAATATTTCAAGTACTCCTCAGGAAGAGAACTAATTACATTTTTAAAATTTTGGTGTCCGATTTCATGAAACAGCTTCTGAAAGAAAATATAACCTTCTGAATGGAGGGGTTTGGATTGCAATGTAATTGCTACAAGGTTTAGTTTTTCAGATTATAAGGTAAGGAAAGTTGAGAGATCGAAAAAATCCTGGTGGGTTTCTGAAAGTAGAAATCTTTACGATTAAAATGATGTATTGGTTTACGCAAAAATTTGGAAATTCCTTCTATTTAATGAATAAAACTTCATTTGCCTCGATTCCCTCCTCTGAGCGAGACAAAGCGCGCGGATTGACCACGGTCCACCACTTCTCCATGTTGGTGACTGCCATCATTGATGAGCATTGATGAGCATTAAATTATGTGAAAGACATGATAGTTAATGTGGGGCGTCGTAAAAATTTTGGAATTTGCCCCACGCAGGATTGGCCCGGATCCGAAGGCTCGTGTTAACGGGAGAAGTGGCAGATCTCAATTCTATTCTGGAATTACTTTGAGGTAAGAGTTAGAAATACTTCCCAGAAGTTGATTTGTTCCATCAAGCTACTATGCGTTTTTAACGACACAATGTCTTGATTGATTCGATTTGATTTATTACACGAGCAAGCCCGTGTGAATATAACTCACAAAGCATGACCTTTGACAAAATAACCACATACATGACGTGGGAACTTAAGCTGACTTGTGAAAATAAAAATGATAGTAACAAGGCAATAGTAATTATAAGCAACAACGGGAAACAGAAGAGAAAAAAACAACAACAGAAGGAATGAAAAAGTTATGATAAGTGTTGGGTCACTAGTCTTTTGAAGTGAGCGTATGATTTCGGTGCCCCAGCCTGCCTCACAATTTTGTTGAATTCTAAGCCAGCGCGATGGCAAAAGAAATGGCTTCGATACCTAGACTTAGGTCGAGGGATAAAAACCTTGATACTTCCGCCACGAGTACGAGAGTCCCCTGCAGAGAAAAGCTTATGTTTATCGAGTGAAACCTTCCCAACGAGAATCTTATAAAGCAAGTATACGTCGTTTAATTTCCTTCTTTTTTCGAGCGTCTGCAGACCGAGAATTTTATTTCTAATAGCACTGTTAGGTATTTTCGCATAGTCATATCCATGGACTCTAATCATTAACTTCCTAGTGAAGTCATTTTGAACTTTTTCAAGAGCTTTAATCGAAGATTTTTTGTGCGGGAAATATATAGCAGTCCCATACTCGAGCAATGGACGAATGTAGGTCTTAAACGCACGTAGAAGAACCTCAGAATCACGACAGGCAAATGCCTTAACACATTGACGACAACGCGGGGGATATATATCCCGCGCATTGCAGGCCATGTCGGACCGTGCGGGATATATATCCCCCGCACCCATTACACTCATTTTTTTCGCGCACGCCTGATTCTTTTAGAAGTTTCTTGTATTCATTCCATGGAAGAGACCTTGACGTAGCTACAAACATAGTGGCCCTAGAATGGTCACGTATGCTTTAATTTAGAGGAGGATTTCTGAACCATACGAAATCTTCATTTCAATAAATTTTTCGTTTACTTTTTCTTTTTATTAATGTGAAGATTTAAATAGTAGTAGAAGTAGATAAGGAACCTTAGGGATGACAATATGTGTGTTTTGATTGGAATAATCAACGTAAAATTGCTTTTGAGGTCCATTGCAGCTAGTTCTGAAAAATTTCGCTTTTTCATTGTTATTCCATGTCTTTCGATCGAAATTCCACTACTGTACCCCTGGGTAGGTTGTGCTCATTACAATTTACTGATCTGGTTTTGAATTGATCATTAGTTGTGTATTTATCACTCAAAATCTGCTTGAACGACCTGAGGCGAGCGCGCCCGCAAAATCGCCGCGGTCCCACGTGGCCAAAAAAGCCAAAACTCGCGTTGTCGTCAATGTGTTAAAGAAGTTATAGACCTCATTGGTAGCCTTGCTGACAATCATGTTGACATGGTCGTCGAAACTAAGGTCACGACAAATAATGAAACCTAGATCTGTGGCCTTGTCTACGGTTAGCAGAACCTTGCCGTCTATGTGATAAGAATTAACGGCAAGAAGGTGACTGGGATAGAATCAAAACCTTAGTTTTTTCAACAGAAAGAGGGAGTCCCCAAGTCTTGGACCAATTGCTAACAATATCTACAGCCTTTTGCAATTGAGGCCGAGTCAGAATCAGAGTCAATGACCTTGTAAACTTTAAGGTCGTCAGCAAAAATCTTACATTCTACTCCCACAGAAGTGATTAGTGAACTAAGTTCAAAGGTAAATAATAGCAAGGGAGATAAGACTCCGCCTTGCGGGACGCCGCTAGTGACCTCCATACTTGCCGACAAGGAATTATTCACTCGAACTTGGAAGGTACGATTAGTGAGAAAATTACGCAACCATTGAAGCAGAATACCATGGATACCAACACATTCGAGCTTATAAAAAAGTTTACTGTGGGAACTTTATCGAAAGCTTTCATAAAATCAAAATACACAACATGAACTTCTTTTTTTGCATCAATCCCCAATGTCCAATCGTTGAGGGCTTCTAGCATTTGGCTCACTGTGGATTTATATTTAACAAAGCCGTGTTGATTTGCTGATTATACGATGTTTTCAAGATGATTTGCAACTCTTTTCTTGACAATCTTCTCAAACAACCTGGCAATGACCGACGTGATACTAATTGGCCTGTAGTTAGCCGCTAAGTCATAGGGGTTTTTTAGGTATGGGGGTAACGTACGAATGCTTCCAAATGAGTGGTACTTCACCCCTCATAAGAGAGAGGTTCATGATATGTTTGAGGGGACTCACAATAGCACTGGAAACACGTTTCAAGAAATACAGAGGAATACCGTCAGGGGTGACCGATGATGAGCTAGGCCATTTTTTAATGCAGTCCAAAATTACCTCTAGGGTCGGGATCGGGGCCAGAGCCTGCATACACAGATCCAAGATGTTTCGCTAGTAAGTGGGCTTTTGATTGGTCAGAAAACGCGAGGTTACCCTCAGCATCCTTAAGTGTACAAATATCACCGCGACTCTTAAGTTTGGTGGATAACATCTTATAGAAGGCCGTTTTGTTACAAGAATTGATCACCTTTTTTTCAACCCTCAAATTGTACCTCATGAGCTTCTTGAGAAAACGATTTCTCAAGATTAAGTAATTATTCATGTCATCCTGTTCCTTAGATTCGGTTGCTCGCATCCAGGCCTGAGAGCATGTTTTTGAAAACCTCAAGAGATATTCAGGGAAGGAAGGCCGATTCCCAAGAACCTCACAAACAGGAACGAACATTTCAATGGTATGCTTCAGGACAAAGATGAAGAGCTCATACATCTCGTGAACAGTATTGCAACACTGGAAAGACCCAAACCAATCCACATTTGCAAGATAATTAGAGATTCGTGTATAGTCGGCTTTAGCAAATTGCCTACGAAACGTTGGCAAGTGATTTCGTTTGGGGAAGCTTAAAAGAAATGTAATCTTAAAATGGTCACTTGATCCTAGCGGAGGACCTGTAAGCACGCCACTGACTATGTCTGACCTGTTACAAAACAATAAGTCCAAGACGTGAGTACCACGAGTTGGTTTTTCAACTAATTGTTGCAAATTGTAACTTGTACATAAACGCGAAATAATGCCAGCAAGACCACCGAAATCGCAACCCACCTCGCTTTGCCAGTTGACCTCAGGCATATTAAAGTCCCCCATGGCTAAGAAGGGATGCTGACAAATCGAGAGATCGGTTATCGCTTTAAAAAGCTGTTGAGAAGAACAACCGGGGGCTTTATAAACTACTGCTAATTCTACATAGTTCGGATAAAAGCGAGAAGTCACAACACAAAATTTCATAAGAGTCAATGATAGTTTCCTTGAAGATGACTTGGTACAAAATTCCTTTTTGGCAAGAATTGCGACACCGCCGCCAACTTTACGAGGGCGGTTACAACGGATGAGACTGTACTCATGGCTCCAAAATACCAAGGAATATCGAATTTTCAAGAGTGGGTTTAAGCCATGTCTCGGTCAAACAACAAAATCAAGCACTCGTTGGTTAGATGGAAAATCAGTGAATCAGCATTTTTGGGAGCGACCTTATGTTACACAGCAAACATTTGCAGCTACTGACCCAACGCCGAGGAACTAATGAACATTTAAAGGACTGTCAGAAAACGTGCTGACATCCATAGACTTATGCGCACTATTTAAACCTGATTGCGGTGAAACATTTGAATTAACGACTGCAGAAGAACGAACAGGCTTGGCCCTAGCCGCTAACCTCAAAGTGCGAAGCTTATCCCTCTCTGCCTGTGGAAGGGAGGGACGTATGTATGTGCCCCTAAAGGGGGAAGCCCTAAGGTTAGGGGCACGACGTAGAGCTTCTTCTTTGAACTTAGTGCTCGGTAGAACCACCTTTAAAAGCCTGGGACGGTACTGTGAGCGCCTTCCCATACGGTAAATAGATAGAGGAACACATTCCACATGCAGGAAATTAAAGAGCATTCTCACACAGTTGAAATCGTGAGCGAGACGATCTGAAGAAGAGAATCAAGGGATTCCGGCGCACCAATGATCACCAAAGAACGTGAAAGCTCTTTTGAATCGCAGCAACTATTAGGTCGGTCCATAATTTTTGAGAACCTTTGGTGTTTTTCGATTTAATTACTTATCTTATTTCTCTGATGTATTTATTCAGCATAGTATACATCACCATTATTACCAACATATCACCAATGCGAGGGTGGGTATTCAGTGTCTCTCTTGTAGAATTTCATAGAGTTCTGATCGAAGAAATATTGGATGTCGATTTTGACTTTATGGTGATTCAAGTGAGATTTCTTCTCCAGAAGGTGATTGAGAGAGGAGAGCGGATAGTCGTTCGTTGACGCAGGATTAGTGCTACAAGGCGGAGCTAAAAGAACTGACCGCCCGAGAGTCTCCAATTTTTTAGGAATTTTCTTAGCAAGGCGGGCTCGAACGACCTCAGAAAAAAATAGATTTTGTCTTCCTTTGCTTTCAAGTTGAAGGCGTTGCCATCAAGCTGTCAACGATTCTTCCCATCACTGACACTGGTATTAGTTGATGCCGGTCTTCAGCGCAAAGGCCCTCCCGTATTGCGCCAACGACTCAGGAAGTTCGAATTCAGAGGGAGTTGGGTTTTACTGTCAGAACTCCCGAATCGTTTGAGCAAATCTACTGCGGCTCGTGGATTTGTTAGCACATTGCACCCAGTCCACATCACCAATGAGTATTATAGATGGTCATCCGAAGGAACTATAGGAAACCAACAGGAACTTGATGATGTCAGATTGGGTTGAGAACTGATTCGGGACTACAATTTTCCTTCGATCAGAACTCTATGAAGTCCACAAGAGAGGCACTGAATACCCACCCTCGCATTGGCGATATGTTGTTAATAATAATGATGTATACTATGCTGGATAAGTAGATCAGAGTAAATAAGATAAGTAATAAGATAAGATAAGTAGATAGGATGATCGAAAAAACACCAAAGGTTCTCTCTCTCAAAAATTGTGGACCGACCTAATAGTATCAGACTTTTTAACTGGAGAAGTGACTTGAGTTTCAGAATTAGAAGTATCAACAATAGCCTGAGATTGAGGAGGCTGAGATAGAGATTGGCGAAGAAAATCATTTTCCTTACGAAGCTTATGAACTTCTTCAGTCAATTCCTTATTCTCACTTAGACAAAATTTCGAGCCTCTCCTTAGCTTCGAGCAAGTATTCGATAATCGTTTTCATATACGATGGAGTCGCCATGAATTGATCAATAGCGGTCACCAGAGCATGCTCCTGTTCAGAGGCTTGAGGCGATCCGAAATCGACGAGGCCACGTTTGCGACCTTAAATTTTGAAACCACAGAAAGAATGGAACTCATAGTCGAAACTAATGAAGGGACCTAGAAAAGTGGCAAAGCGAAAAAGCACGGCGCTCCCTGCCACAAAGAAGCTAGCACAGTACAAGAAAACCGCAGTGAAGATCAAGACCGAAACGGTCGATGACGATCGATCTTTTAACGAAGAAATTACCTCGAAAAGTGGCAATCAGAGAAATTTTCTAAATCCCCTGCCACAGGGATACAGCGTGAGACGATCCTTCTTCCG